ACTGAAACAAAGTGAGAGGAAGTAAAACATTAAAAAAGGAGGAACTTTTGACAGCTCCTTTTCCCCTTCCTAAACACTCATCGCTACTGAAGTATTTGTCCTTTCTTGAAATATTAAAGATTGTTGCTTACGTTTATCTTAATGGTTTCGTCTGATATTTTTAAATTAACCTCTTAAAGGCTTTTGTTCTTGAAAAGCATATTCCAAATGCCTAGGCCTGTCTGGCTGTGTGATATATCCTATGTATCCTTGAAGGTAGTTAAACTTCTATGCATATAACCAAATAAATCCAGCTATGCAGCCCTCCCTCCTGTTAATTTTATCCAACCTAATGGCCAAGTCCATTGAAGGAGCTTCACTGCATCCCGCATGCCACCCCTGTGAAGTAGGCCAGTCACTTTCTCCCCGCCCAATTTCATCCAGTACATGGTCAGGCTGGGCTTGAACATGGTTCCCCGCAGACCTAGACCCACACTGCAGCTTTGAACTCCCCTTGGCTATTCCAACGTGGGAACGGTGTTAAATTGTCAGCATGGATCTTCTGGAATCTGGGTGGGGTTCTTCCCTAAAAGAGAGGCTGGGAGCGGATGGGAGGGATAAGCCCCCTATTTCAAAGCCTGACCTGATCTCTTCATAGAAGCAGCCGATGCAGCGGCTGAACGGGATCTTGGAGATCATACAGTCCACCCCTACCCTGATCAGGAATCCCGTCCTACAGCCTCCCTGGCAGATGGCCGTCCAGTTTCTCCGATCAAGCCCCTCCGGTGAAAGGTGGCCCACCGTTTCCCAAGGTTGCCTCTTTCATTCTGGCCGCTGCTAGCAGGAAACGTCTCCTGCTCGCAGAAACGCAGTACAAAGAGAGTTGAAGGGGGGTCCATAAACAGTAGCAAAGAGAGCGGGCGTTCGTTAATTCCACCTCTATAATTAGCAGGGCCGCAACAGGGGTGCAAGCAAGCACATTGACTCCTGCCACTGTCTCCCCCCCCTTCAGGTGCAAAAGCCTATGTAAATAGCTATTTAAAGGATGTTACTTCTCAAAAGTGCATCTATCCATAAATTAGTTTATACAAGAAGATGTGATCCCTCCGGTGATTCATCGCCTCTCGTTTTGCAAAGGGCAATAAAGCAGAGCATTTTATGCCAAGGTTGCGCAATCATTTGGGGGCCAAGGAAGGGGGTAGGCCCAGGACAGAAACAACATTGATTTAAATTTAAATTAAATTTCACATCAGTTAATTAAAGGCAGGGGGTGTTTAGACAACCAAGCCAATAAACACCTAGTAGCTACATTATTAAGTTTAGCTAGTACAATGTTTGCTTTTTGGTGGCTTAGTGCGGACTGTGGGTTGCGTGGTTTATTTATGGTTTAGTGTTGCGTCTTTTCTACTGATGCAACAAAAGACTCCAGAGAGCTAGAATCAGAAATAGCTTTCTCAGCTTCTCACCTTGCCAAACTTTGGGGACAAAGCTAACTCCCGTATTTTGAAGACCTACAACAAATGGCCAAGCTAATCAAGGAAGAATCCATGATTGTAGGCTCAATAACCCTTGAGTGGAGTGTGCATATCCAGAAAATGGATTAATTCAGTAGCTCATTAAGTCCCAATCAATACAATACAAGTAGCAAATTTGCTTCTGGTCATTTTTTTTCCCTTTTTTTGTGCCTTTGAGACAGTGTTGACTCTGGGTGACTCCCTGGGCAAGTCCTTGCAACTTTCTTGGCAACATTTTCAGAAGCAGTTTGCCCTCGTCTTCTTCTTCCTGGGGCTGAGAGAGAGGGACCGGCCCAACATCACCCAGTTGGCAGGGCTAGAACTCATGGCTCCCCCATGGCTGCAGCAAACTGGCTCCCGCTTGTCATATGACATGCATTCTCATAAGAGGTCAGCAGGTGGCAGCACAAAGCTGGCTTGGCTAGTCTTGAAAAAATGCTAAGCAGCATCAGCTTCCATTAGAGCTTGGATGGGAGACCACTAGCAAATCCTAACTTCTCCAGGCTACGGATGGTTCCAAGTTTGATTCAAAGGAGCCTTTAGCTTTACTTCTGCTGATAGTTGGTGACATCAAGAGAGCCTCGGAGGTCTTCTGGTCTGCCTCCCCTACCCCCATTTTATTTTCTGGAAGGCTGCAGGGGAGAGCTGAGCGGGGCGAAAATCAAGCAGGCAGTCCTTTGCTTAACAAGGCATGATGGCTGCAGAGGCTGCTGTCAACTTTGAGAGGGCCTGAAGGGCAGGGATTATCTGCACAAAGACGGACAAAGCCTCAGTGCGTAAACGTCAAGCCTCTCCACGGCTTCTCCGTGTCAGCAGAATCCGAGCGATCTGGCTTGGGCCAAGGACAATGGGATGTAGCGCTCCCCTCCCCAAGGGTGGGCGAATAAGGCTCCTGTCAGCTGATGGGGAGAGAAGAGCCACCTAAGTGGAACTAATCAAGAACTCTCCTCTTGAAGAACTAAGAACTTTCAAGCTATACGTGCGGCAAGTCTGACCTCTCCAGGCATTCGTTAGAACTGTACCTTGGAAGTCCTTGTATCGGGGAAGTGGGAAAGATGAACCGGAGAGATGGGGAAACTCAAATGCAGCAAGATTGAAGAACAGGGCGCCTGCACCGGGATGACCAAAAGTCAAAAGAGCAGCCGTGACTGTGCAACTGAAGCCTCACCTCTTTTTAAAGATGGGTCACGACACACATAAAAAATGGGTAGAGCTTTAATTGCACAATTGTAACTGCCGTCTTGACTTTTTCATGGTCCCTGCAGACATCCTTATAATTGCCAGCAGAAAACAAGCCAGCTGGGCAGGTGGGTGGGCCTGTTTTTTGCCTGCAAGCAAGGAACATTGCATACTTTGGTGGCATGGAAGAATGTGCACTGATGTCGCAAGGCAAACCTCACCCCAAAATGCAGTCATGGTCTTTAAAGAAGGAGCATACACAGTGACATGGCTGCAGGGCAGGGCTTGCCATAACAAGTCCTGTTTTTCTGCGGATACCCCCAGCTGGGACAAGTATTCTTCAGTTTGCTCGTAAAAAATCCAGATTTAGGGATAATTATTCAGGGTGGCAAAAATGAAAAGTGATGTGAAGAATCCTAGGCGGATCTGTCTGTCTTGGGTGGATGGCAGCCGCAGGCGCAACGGGGTTCAAAAGTGGCAAGGGTGCTGCTGATAGATGGTCAACCCAATGCAAGTTTAAGTAAGTTTCCAGTGGGTCAAACCGCCCCTAACTTTATCTGTATCCAGATGGAGGTCTGAGCTGTTTGTCATTAACCAGGAAAAGGATCTTATGGCCCTAGGGAAGAGCTGAACGCAGCTTTAAGCTTAGCATGGAGCGGCAGGGAAAAATATAAATGGCAGGCTATGGAAAGGATTGAAATAAAACTGCCACCGTTGCCCGGCCCTTGTGGCTACGATGCGTCCTTATCTGGAATACCGTGCACAGTGTCGGTCCCCACGCTGGATAGAAAGAGCTGGAAAAAGCAGCAAGGACGACAACCAAAATCGGTCCCTCCCTGGTCAGGAAAGGGAGGAACATTTGGGATTCAGAGGATTTAAAAGATTAGTATACAATGGAAATCGGAGGTTTTTCTTTTGGGGCTGATGGACAAACCATCGGAAAAAAGTCATGGAACTTTGTTCCTGTACCTGATAACCGCAGCGAGATTCTTGTGTGCACAAAGAGGGACAGAGTCTGAAATACCCACCACGGAGGAGCGGTGGGTGAAGATGACGGAACTCGCTGAGACGGCCAAACTGGCTTCTTTGATCAGAGAAAAGGCAATATCTACGTTGATTGCTGACTAGAAACCCCTTATGGGCTTTTTGCATGAAACAGAAAAAAAATGAACTTATGATTTATGGTTTTCATGATTAGACAGGATAGATTACAGAAAGAAGAGAGGTATGTTGTAACCACAGAGAGAGATAAATTTATAATTGTACCTATAACTGCTGTAAAGAAAATTGGAAGCAACTTCTTTGTATCTTTTTTCTTTTTTTTCTATTTTTCCTTTACTTTTTTTCCCCTTTCTTGCACTTTTAGATTTTTCTGATTTCTTTCTCTTCTTTCTTTTTCTTTATATTAGTTTGTATTAGTTTTTATTTTCTTTTTAAAAATCTTTAATTTTATATATATCTATATATCTATAAATAAAAGGAAAGGGTGGAACATTTGGGACCTTTTTGCTTAGAAAAAAGCCTTGTTTTTAAAAAATGTAATAACCTTATTACATTTAAAAAAAAACAGAAATATAAGAACTAACAAGAACTAATAATCAAGAAAGTGAAAGAAAGAACGAGCGCATGCTGGCTGGGGAATTCTGGGAGTGGAAGTGCACCCATCTTCAAGCGGCCAAGGTTGAGAAACATTGCAGGAGAGGGCAGCGGAGACTGGCACAAAGCTCTGCCATCATGGGGTCGTGAGAAGCTCTGCCCCCTTGTCAGGGCGCATTCATGTAGTGGGTGAAAGTGCCGGGCTAGCTTGATGGCAGATCATCATTCAATTACTCAATCCATCCATCATCTTCCTCTCTGCGCTACAGCTGAGCAAACAAAGGGGCGGGGCTGGATGGGTGGGGCTTGTGCGAGGAGGGCCGTGACGTCATGCGGCGCCCTAACCTCACGTGCTCTCCGGGAGTCACGTGGCCGCTGGCTTCTGATGGAAGGCGTCGCCTGCCAAGGGTAAGGGTGGCTTTCAGTGGGAGGGCGCGCCGGCTGTGGAGGATGGGAAGCGTAGTGCGGCACATGCGCAGGGGGGAGGCGGTGCTCGGCTTAAACCTCGTGCTTCCCGGGCTTCGGGCACGGGGTCCCTATGGGCTCTTCCGAGGCGGTGGAACTACAACTCCCAGCATGCCTCACCTGAGCTTTGCAATTCGGCGTATTACAGGGTGCCCCCCCCCCAGCTTGCCTGGTTCATTTGATTCATACTCCGGTTGCTTGTCCCCCCCTTTCTCCAAACTGGGGGATTCTGGGGAATTGAAAACTCTGCCCGAATAGCTTTCTTCTTCCTCTGCCTGTTGCAAACCCACGAGCAACCGGTTTCTGCGGGCGTGCAATTCGAAGCGAGTCCTCTTGCGCTTCGTGGGAATGAGGTGCGGTGAGACGGGCGGCTGGGCAACGGCGGGTTTTGGAAAACGCCCTCTGCGGTCCAGAATGCTCCAAACGTAATAAACGCTGCTGCACCGATGCAAAAGGACGGAAGGCGAGATAGCCTTTCCTTGCAGCTGGGCCGTCCGAAGGACGTGGCAGGAAAGCAAAAAGGAAGGGGCAGCAGAAGGAAAACGAGCCCCCGGGTGGGTAGGGGGTCCCAATGCTGCAAGATAGTGGGGCGCCCCCTTGTGATGGAAGCCCTGCGCGTGCAAAGCGACTGGGGCTTTGTTCGCAAAGTTGTGCCCGCTGTCTTGCGGATTCTGACACACACCTTCTGCAGACACCCCTGACTAGCAAGCTCCACCATCATCCTCTACAGTGGTGTTTCTCCACCTTGGCCACGTGAAGATGGGTGGACTTCCACTCCCAGAATTCCCCAGCCAGCCATGCCACCTTGAGTTTTTGGACCCCCCTGCGAGAGAGATGATTGATAGATGATTGATTGATCTAAAACACAACACTTTCAGTAAAGGTTGACCATATTCAATGTAATGGTCTGTATCAGTGTTTCTCAACCTTGGCCACTTGAAGATGGGGGGATTTCAACTCCCAGAATTCCCCAGCCAGCATGCTGTCTGGGGAATTCTGGG